CCCCAGCATGGGTGCTGGTCCCAGGGGCTCCCCAGGGCACCCAGGTCCAGCTCCCCAGGGAGAGGGTGGGCTGAGACACCCCCCCCGCCACGCGTGTTGGGGCCCACCGTACCCCAGCCCTGCCCTCGCTTCTGGCCTGTCCTTCTTCAGCCAAGGGTGCTCAGCCTCTTCGCTGGCGGGTTAAAAGCGTCCGGGTTGGCTTTCTAAGCTGCCGGGTTTTCTTCCTCACACTGGCCGAGGGGTTACATCTGGGGTTTAGTGGGTTTTTTGTCATCGGGGCCAAGAAACCTGGAGGGCACTGCTAGGTACCTTCTGGCGTTTCTACAGATCGCCATAAAACAAGAAAGTGTGGATGAAGCAGTCGTGGACTTGGAGGGGAAAGGCCTGGATGATTAAGCAGACCTTTAACGTGTCAGCGGGAGGAGGGATTAAGAGCGGAGAAATGAGGCTCATGCTTAGATTCTCTCGGTATTATTTACACCTGTAATAAAATCTGGTTGAGCTGGTTGTGCCTTTAGCAAAAATATGTCATCTATTAATGAATTGTTTGTAAAGCACTTCGAAAATGTTCGCAAAGCCCTGGTTAAGCGACCTCTTACCGTGCGTGTACGGCGTGTGGCACGTGCGTGTGCTCCCGAGCGTGTCGGTCGCGAGCAGCTACGCCTCCGTACGCACCTCGGGGCCTCCGCTTCTCCCCAGGGTCTCCCGGCTGCATCACTGGGCTAAGACAAAGACTAACGGACCAAGGCAGTGCCTAACAGCGGCTCCTTTCCAGGCATGAGACCGTAAACCGCGGCAAAACCCACGCTGTGAAGCGCCCCGTGCTCGGTCACTGCAGGTTTTCCCGCTGCGGCTCCATCGCCGTCGGGTGTTTTTCACCCCTGAGATGTGGGAAACGTGTGTGTGAGCCGTTCTGTGACGTTGTAGGGACTGAGGGGCTTTAAGTGTGCTTTCCTCCAGCAAGATGGATAGTGTTTTAACTGAGGTTTCATGAGCACAGATATTCACATAGCTCTCATCACTGTAATACTTTACAGCTAGCTCCAATAAACAGTGCCTCTAACCTCACGAAGTCCTTGTGAGGCAGACAAGTAATATTATCTTAGCTTTTTAAACACGCGGGCAGACAGTGCTACAGTCCCAAGGTCAGGTAAAGAGTTGACGATGGAGTCAGCAACCCGACCATATCTTGCAAGACCCATATTTACTCCCAAGCTTTGCCGTCCGTAACCAGCAGCGCTCAGCTGCTAATCAGGGTGGGTGATAATGCTGAGAACGCACGCAGTGTGCTGCTACGCACGGCCACCGAGCTGTTCCCAGCCCCACCGAGTTCACCGTCTACATCAGCCAAGCGTGGGGAACGGATGATGGGTGCTCTCCATGCAAACACTCGAAACCAGGAGGCAGAGAAGTTTTTGGGTTTTTTTTTGTCCAAATTGTGTAGGAAGGAAGACTAGAGGGAGCATCATGGTGACCTTAAAAACTATGAATCTTTGTCTTAGTGTATGAAAACCCTTTTCATTTGCAGTCTTCTGCTGCAGTTAGGCACCGAAGCAGAGTTTGCTTCTACCAGAATACGACCTTTGCCTAATTCCCATGGAAAAACTCACCTACTGCATATTCAGGAGTTACGCAGCAAAACCCTCTGCCCATGGACCTGGTCCTTGGACTCAGTAAAGGGGCAGGGGGGCATTTTAAAGCTACAGTGGACACAAGTACCTTTTTAGAGGAAGAACTCTCCCCCCCAAAAAAACCCCTTACTGCTATTGCCTTTTCTTCGAAAAAACAAAATAAATATTAGAAAGTGCTACACTGCTGTGTTTGCTTTGGAAAGTCTTTTAGATAACGGGAATTAGTTTTCAAAACAAGAGCGCTGGGAGAGGCGGTGGCAAATCACACGAGAAGTCAGAGTTGGAAAAAATGGTAATTACCCTGCTTTGAACTTTATGCATATATTAACAGTGATTAAATGTCACCATGGCAAGCACGTACATGATAGTTTCCTTAAACAGATCAAAATAACAAACCTCCGGGATAGTGGGTTTATAGATTCTTAGATTACTGGGCAGTGTGAGACGCTGGCCTAAATCCAGCACAGCACAAGCCATGCTCCTTTCTTGATTATTGCCTGACTGACAGCACATTTTTTTGAATAAATCTGATTTTGATTTTGAGGTTGCTTTCGTTAAAATATCAGCAGCCACCCCGATAATTATTATTTATTGTGGCTGCCAATAATTACATTTGGTTTCTAGTCTGAGTTATCTTCAGCTTCCAGCCACTGACTCTTGTTCTATCTTTGCCGGCCAGGTTGAGAAGTCATTACCAAGATTATCCCTGTAGGTAATGTCAGGCTGTGATTAAGTCACCCTTTGACCTTTTCGTAGTAAGCAAAATAGATTGAACTTCCTGAGTTTCTTACTGTAAGGCGTCTTTTCCAATTCTTTAATCATACTTTTGATTTTAAATGAGCAAGATTTGACCCTGCTGTTTGAAAAGCACTTTCAGTCCAAACCGTCCTTTACAGTCTTAATGGATATGTCTGAATTAGTAGCCTAAGCAGCCCTGGTCTCTTTAGATCAGCTAGGATAGGCAGACACTTGCAGAAGGCAACTCACATAATAGGAATTCCATGAATATAAAATCCTACTTATAATTTATTATTATCTTGTTATTACTATTTCCCCCTTAAGTTTGTATGTGGGTTTTTTGCATACGTATTAAAGCTATGTGTGTATTTTTACGTTACAAAAATAAATAAAGCTTACCAGCATCTCTGAGAGTCCTCCATCATCTTGCAGGGTATCTGAGAAGGTTCAGAACTCTTCTCTGAACATTGATGTCACCATCGCAGAGAGTTCTTTAAAGATCTTGGATACAAGTTATCTAAATGTGCAGGGGTTTTAGAATGTGTAACTTGTAGAGCTGTTTTGGGACACTGAAATTGTAAGAATGCATTAATTACTATTAGTTATCTCTATCATGCATCTCATATATATTTTCCAACATACAACAAAAATATCTGTTGGACGCTTCTGTCACCTGTTTTGTTTACTGACAATTCCAGAACTTCCATCAGGTGATGGACTAGTACCATGAGTGACTTTCTCTTGGCCTCAGTTTACATAAAACACTATTGTCTTTGACTGTCTGTCCAATAACTTTTTGGTTTTGCTTATTTTATCACATTCTTGTCATTCCTTTTGGATTTATATTAATTCAAATCAATGTCTCCTTTCTACTGTTTGACATTTATGCTTTTCTTAATTAACTTTTTAATGTTTTCTTTAATTTTTCCATCTATAAAGTTAGCTGAACTTTTTAATCAAGACAGATCACTTTCTTTATTCAGTGATGGCTTTTCAAGCACCTAGTAATACATTTAAAATGGATTCCTAATTACTATTCAGATGCTTAATATAAATTCTCTCCGCTACTTACTTCTGTACTTTGTGAGGCTGGCCTTTTTGAAGTAGGAAATAAGTCTATTCCCTGATCTGCATTTATCCTGCTGTATTTATCCGTTATAATCAGCATTTCAATTGTCCAGTAACAATCAGAAAAGAAATGGTTTGTTTTGTCATGACACTTCAAGTGAACATGGCTCTACTCCACCTCGGGAGAAAAAACAGCGCAGCGAGCTGCACATGTATTTATGCATATATATACACATATGCTAATACACACACACATTTTTATATAGAAAATGTTCATATATAATACCAGTGCACAAGGTAGCGCACAGAGTGGCGCTCTGATTCAATGACGTTGAATCAATCAACAATGATCTCTGTGGGACGGAATGTGTCCCAGAGCTTAAAATAAAGTATATAGTATGTGCAAACTTACCTGCCATGGTGCCTTGTAGCATCCCTCTGGGCCTGATCCAGTGGGATTTGGCTCCTGATGCTCTCAGGATACTTTACTTAGGTTTCTACCTTTGGTGTCTCCATGTGAGCCAGCTCACTTTGCCAAGGGAGACCCAGACAGTACCAGCAATGGAGTCTCGAGGGCAGGTCTCCTGACGTGCTGTTAATCTCTGTTTTCATGCAGACATAACTGTAATTTACTTTAAAGTACTTTGGTGCAGCTAAGCTGTGACACACAGATCCCATATCTGCATTCACATGTGTAATTCCTCGCATGCCAACATGGGTCAATAGTTGCTCCATGACCCCTGAAAGTCAATATTTTGGTCTGCACAGAGACCTCAGAATTTGGTTTTGTAGCATTGTAAACAGGAAATTTCAGTGCTACTTAATATGCAACATTTTGAGAAATCCTTTGCATTTAGATAGCATCAACATGTTTGACAAAGCAAGAAGATTTTTCAGATTATTCGTGCGGTTAGAAATCCAGCAGGCACAGATGTATCACACACAATGTTCAATGGGGCACTGAAAGCAAAGCTGGCCACAACTTTCATAAGATGAAAGGTGCCCATATAAGGTCACTTCATCTATGTGTTAGTATTTTTTTCACACAGGTATTTCTCTTTCTGGGCTTAAGAATAACTTTAATTCTATTTTTTTTCAAACAGTTTTCCCAAAGCCCCTTTCCTTAAATAATTCAGAGGTTGATATAAGTCTCCAGCCAGATTAGCAGAAAAGACAAGAAGTTGCAAGGCAAAGTCACTGACAGGATCTGGTGAGATAAAAACATCTGCACAATGCTTTTTTCAGAGTTAAGCTACATTTATATAATGTTGTACTAAAATACAAACCCGTCCAAAACAACCAGCCCTCCTCCCTTGCCTGATTTTACTAGACTTCTCAGGAAGGCTCTGCTGCAGAGATCCAGTGTGCCCAATTTCAAGAAAATCTGTTCCTTTGGGGAAAATTAGTAGACTGTTTGGAAAATCAGACCACAGTGGAG